AGAATCTGTTTGATTCCGACGTCTATATTTTGATTTGACAGAAATATTACTTATATAATTAATATTATGTTGTAATCATTAATAAATTCAGTCAGAAATGATATTAATTTATAAATCAAACTGTGTTGTATAGATATAACTCCGTTCATGTTTTTCGCTATCATCACTAATCTTGATCCCCCACGAAGCATATGGACTCAATTATATTCCTGCAATTGTCCTTAAGAATGTATTCCCGGACTGGGTTTAGTTCTTTTCAAGCTCTTTTTTTTTTTTTAGAAATCCTCTTCTGTTTTCTTGTTTTTTAAGAAATCTAACGGACGGTGTAATTCTTTAAACTATTGACCTATTAGCGTTTTGGCAACGTATTACAGGATGAACTCAAATTCGAATTAGTTAAGCATCTCACCTTGCAGGTGATTATAATTATAGCCCAGTTAAATAACACCAAACATCACAACCGAAAAACAGTTAGAAATCGGGGGGAAAAACAATACCAATAATGCAAAAGTGGTATAAAAAAAGAAAGAAAAGAGAAAGCTACTGCAAGAACTAGAAACATTAACAAAATAATATAAAATTTAAGAACAAACATATTAAATACATATCATTTAAAATAGAAGTGAACATGTGGAAACGCTGGGAATATTTGGAAAGAAGAAAGCGTTGACAGTAAGAAAGCACAGAGCTTTAATAATGGATAAAGCTGCAGGTAAAACGACCGGCTCCCTGTATCGTTCCCGTCAGGACCTGACCCTTCGTGCTATCCTACACCTTTTATAAGAGCCAGATCAGGCTGGAAATGAAGTACTGTTGGCATATTTAGGTAAGAGCTGCCCAGTCTTCATTTTCCAAAATTGAAACATACTAAATACATATCATTAAAATAGAAGTGAACACATGGAAACGCTGGCAATATTTGAACAGAAGAAAGCCATGACAGTACAAACGCCCAAAAAATCTTTGATGATGGCTAAAGACGCAGATAAAACGATCGGCTTCCTGTACCGCTCCAAGAAGTACCTGGCTTCTCATACTATCTTCTGTCTTTATAAAAGCCAGATCAGGTCGGTAATGAAGTACTGTTGCTATATTTAGGTAAGAGCTGTCCCGTCCTCACATTCCAGTCTTGATAATTGTTGTGGCCAGAAATGAAGACACAAGAGAGAAAGTGCGTTAAACAAATATATTAACAGAAACAGTAATACAAATATATAGAAACGAGAGTGTTACAGCAAGAAAATGGAAACTTCCCTCGCTCAAAAAGGCAGTACCTGCTCCTATTTATAGCTGGTAAAGTTCATGCGTGCGTGGATAAATTAGCATAACAATAGTGTTCAAAAAAGTCTCCGAATCCTTCATGGCAATGAAGATGAGGATAACGCTCCGAATAATGTAAATAATGCAAGTAATCTTAATATTTCATTTCTGAGATATAGAGGCCGAAACGTTGACAATATGGCAATGAAGATGAGGTTAATAGTCCGAATAATCAAATAATGCAAGTAATCATAAAACCTCATCTCAGAGATAAAGAGGCGGAAATGTTGTGAATATGGCAATGAAAATGAGGTTAACAGTACGAATAATGTAAGTAATGCAAAATATCATAATACCTCATCTCAGAGATATAGACAGATACCTAGAGATTTCTTTAGAAACTGTGCAAAATACATGATTATTAGAATATTTCACTCCACTTGATATTATTATTAACATAAATAATATGAGAATCAGACCGAAATATTCACGGTCGCTTCATACTGGCACTTGTTAGTACGCTGTGTTTCAAATTTATTCATGTATTCTATCAGTGACGTCATGTGTAAAACGGTGTCACAGAGCTTGACACTGGATATCTGTATTCGTGCCATTGACTTCTCATCTCAGCGTGTACCGGTTGCAATTTTTGACCTTTCGTAGCTTGAATTTGTTTTCGTTTTAACACATAAAAAACAGCAACACGCGTCTGTTTAACAACTTGTATTTTTCTCTTCGAAAACGTGGTGAATATCAGTGAATGCCTCACGTTCTGTATCTCGCCGATCACAGGGAAAGGCAACAACAAACAAAGACAACGTGTCAGGTTCGAGATTTATTGATTGCTATTCGATGATGATTCTTTAACAGAGGATTTAGGTTACAAAGTTTTGTGGCGAGAAGAGAAAAGGAGAGAAGACGTAACAATGGAAAAGAAAAATACGCTAAAAGAAAACGGGAAAAGACCAGAATAATAATTACAATTGCTTGAAGAGACTTGGATAGATAGATAGATAGATAGATAGATAGATAGATAGATAGATCTGAACAGACAGAGATAGATAGGAAGATATATAGACATGAATCTGCTGATATTGATAGATAGATAGATAGATAGATATGAACAGACTGAGATAGATAGATAGATAGATAGATAGATAGATAGATAGATAGATAGATAGATCTGAACAGACAGAGATAGATAGGAAGATATATAGACATGAATCTGCTGATATTGATAGATAGATAGATAGATAGATAGATATGAACAGACTGAGATAGATAGATAGATAGATAGATAGATAGATAGATAGATCTGAACAGACAGAGATAGATAGAAAGATATATAGACATGACTCTGCTGATATAGATAGATAGATAGATAGATAGATAGATAGATAGATATGAACAGACTGAGATAGATAGATAGATAGATAGATAGATAGATAGATAGATAGATAGATCTGAACAGGCAGAGATAGATAGGAAGATATATAGACATGAATCTGCTGAGATAGATAGATAGATAGATAGATAGATAGATAAATAGATAGATAGATAGATCTGAACAGACAGAGATAGATAGAAAGATATATAGACACGACTCTGCTGATATAGATAGATAGATAGATAGATAGATAGATAGATAGATAGATAGATAGATCTGAACAGACAGAGATACATAGAAAGATATATAGACATGACTCTGCTGATATAGATAGATAGATAGATAGATAGATAGATAGATCTGAACAGACAGAGATAGATAGAAAGATATATAGACATGACTCTGCAGATGTAGATAGATAGATAGATAGATAGATAGATAGATAGATAGATCTGAACAGACAGAGATAGAAAGATATATAGGCATGACTCTGCTGAGATAGATAGATAGATAGATAGATAGATAGATAGATAGATAGATAGATAGATAGATAGATGTGAACAAACTAAGATAAATCTGAACCGATTGGGAAAGAAATGAACCTACTGACATGAATACATAGATAGATAGATAGATAGATAGATAGATAGATAGATAGATAGATAGATAGATAGATACATAGATAGTTCTGAACAGACATAGATAGATAGATCTACACAGACAGAGAGAGATAGAAAGATAGATAGACATAAACCTACTGAGATAGATAGATAGATAGATAGATAGATAGATAGATAGATAGATAGATAGATGTGAACAAACTAAGATAAATCTGAACCGATTGGGAAAGAAATGAACCTACTGACATGAATACATAGATAGATAGATAGATAGATAGATAGATCTGAACAGACATAGATAGATAGATCTACACAGACAGAAGTAGATAGAAAGATAGATAGACACAAACCTACTGATATAGATAGATAGATAGATTTGAACAGACAGGGATAGATAGAACGATAGATAGATATGAACCTACTGAGATAGATAGATAGATAGATAGATAGATAGATAGATAGATAGATAGATAGATAGATAGATAGATAGATGTGAATAAACTAAGATAAATCGGAACCGACTGGGATAGATAGATATGAACCTACTGACATGAATAAATAGATAGATAGATAGATAGATAGATAGATAGATAGATAGATAGATTAAATATGATATTTTCCCAATATCATGAATAAACAATTTTTATGCAACACAAACTGATACAGAAAGAAAGAACCATCGAATACTGAGACTAAATTTAATTGAATTGTTATTTGGAATTCCATTACAAAAGTAATGTTCAAAATTATTAATTCTTACAGAACGGAAATGAATGATACAGGAAGGTATTGCGTTTTCTTCCTTAAATTAGAGAGTTCCTTACTTCCTTTAAAATGAATCTAAGCAAGTTTAGTAAGATCGATCGGTATGGAGCGCTTTAGGGCTTGAATTGAATGGACGATAGCTTTTGAAACCGTCGCCATTTCTCGTAGAATGAAAACAATCGCCATTATTAAGAATAAAGATGTTGATGAAGGGATCTGATTAAAGTTTCTAACTCACACTCCCCAATTAGGGGACATATACTTTATTTCAAAATATATTGAAAACTGGGCTAAGTATAATAAACAAAAAAGTAAATCATTATTGACACACGGAGGAAAAAATAACGAAAGGACATGAATATTTCACTTTCAATTGCGTTCCATCAGGAATTTTTATGAATTATGGAAGAGAATTTTTCCGTATTCTGATTTTTGTTCTGCATGTGGCTGACGACCATCATCGTGTCTATATTTCTGAGATGAGGTATTATGTACACTATTTACATTATTCGGACTATTGTCCTCATCTTTGTCGCCATATTTATCACAACGTTTCGGCCCTTCAGTATCTGTCTATAATTCTGAGATGAGGTATTATGTACACTATTTACATTATTCGGACTATTGTCCTCATCTTTCTTGCCATAACTATCACAATGTTTCGACCGTTGTACGCTCCGGCCTTCTTCAGGTGGTTGGAATGTCGAACTGAAATGTTTATTTCACTTTCTGGGGTAGACCCTTCTAGTTTCACTTGCCATATCTAACTTTGAGAGGGGAATTAACAGGAGATAACTGACATCCATTAGACATGGCACGTGGAACTAGAACAGTCTACCCCAGTGAGCGAAATAAACGGTTCAGTTCGACATTCCAACCACCTGAAGACGGCCGGAGCGTACAACGGCCAAAACGTTGTGATAAACATGGCGACAAAGATGAGGACAATAGTCCGAATACTGTAAATAGTGACCATCATCGCGTTGAAACACAGGTTCCCGTATGATCATCAGCGTTAAGCAACGTCGAGCTTGGTCAGTACTTAGATGGTTGACTGCTTTGGAATACCAGGTGGTGTAATCTTGTATGCGAGGTCGATGTAATGTGTAATGGCTCGTAACTGTTAATCGGAGAGCTGAGTTCTAATTCCACCCCAGTTCACTGTATTCACTTACCTACAAATGCATTTAGGAAAGGCATGAACCCACATCTTCTCACTCACGCTATGGAGTAATTAGTAAGACTTGTATGACAAAATCATTATCTCCTAAAAAACAATTCTTACAACGCCAAAATATTTTCTAGCTTTAAATAACTTGCAAAGTGTTCATAAGCCTATAAAATGAAACAAGCAATTAATCAATGTGCTATTAGTTTCCTTGGAGTTTTCTGGCGTTAATGTGTGTCTGAATTCTTCTCGACATTTTTATGTTTGTCTGATAATGTACGTGTTTGTTTTACTGTTGAAAATCTTAGTGGTCTGAAATGGGAAAATGTGTGTGTATTTATGGATATTTCCAGTTGGACTTGCGATTGCCAAAGTCGTCATTTACTCGTGTTGACAGAGTTATATAAGGAGACATATTTTGTCTTTGAGATCTCTAATCACAATGTGAGGGCGATTAGATTTGATTGTACTTTGGTTGCTCTGTCCGTGTGTATTGTAAATTATTATTATTATTATTATCATCATCATTATCATCATCATCATCATTATTATTATTATTATTGTTATTATTGTTATTATTATTATTATTCAAAAACAAAATTAGTGACGTAAATCTTCCAATAGTTTTCAACAGTTAAGAAAAGAGCGAGATTTAAGAAAAGAAAAAAAACAAAAAAACAAAGTGTTTGACAATGTTAAAGAACGTTTCAAATGTTATATTTAAAAAAAAAACAACTTTCAAATCTGAAAATATATCACTCTACAAAGACTTATAAGGCTTTGTAAAAACATTGCTTGCCTTGTAATAAAAAAAAAAACCTCTGTACTATCAATGAACGCGTCAAATCGAATGAAATGTCGCCAGCTGAAAGGCATGGAACTGAAACATGTTTGATATCATCGTAAGCTTGTCATGCTTGAAAATTTCCATAGTTGCATCTTACTTATTATAAAACGCAGATTGTGTATGTGTGTGTGTCTGTACGTTTATATATTGGATCGGATTTCTTACATTTTTCAACCGATTTCAACAAAACTTCACAGGACGACGTAAAATTACCTAGCGTTGGTTCTGACAGCGCCAAAATTGGAAAAACAATTGTTTTTGCACGAAATCAATTTGAAAACACAATTAAGAGGCATTAATGAAAGGGAGACAACTCATATCGAGTTATAATTATTAATATCGAGTTATACTTATTATAAAACCCAGGTTGGTTGTTTGTGTGTGTGTGTGTGTTCGTTTATATATGGGTTCGGATTTCCTACATTTTTCAACCGATTAAAACAAAACTTCACTTTTTTTTGGCAGGTAGTGTTTCTTATTGTCTTGCACACTTTTTCCTTTATTTTTACTCTCAGAATGCTTTAAAAATTCCATTTACAAGATAATTGTTTATAATAAAATTCTATTCAATCGGTAGACTCATAACGATTGAAAACAATGTTTTTGTTTGAGTTTGGGTTTGACCAATTCGTAAAAAAAAAAAAAAAAAAAACTAATTAAACATGCGTGTCCGTCAACCTTAAACAATAATCTTTGCCAATTTTATTTTTCAGTCTTTATGATGGTCGATACTTGATCTATCTCTTACTGTTACATCCCCGGGCAACGCCGGACTCTACTGTTAGTAGTTATTAAAAGAAATTAAACTGAAAATGTTTTTCTTTTCTTTATCTTTTCATAAATCGTAATCTTATTTTAACTATTATTATCGTTTTATTTCCTTTGGTTTCTATTGTGAACACATTTCTTTCCGGGTCCCGCCAAGCACAATACACCGACTGAAACTTAAAAATAACTAAAAAAAAGAAAGCAAAGACAAATGCAACCAACCAGATACAGAAATAATGGCAAGATAAACCGCTTCATGGCGAATACTCTTCCCGTACGAAAGAAACTGATGTAGACAAGCCCTGCACCCATCAGTGGCTATGTAATGAAGGGTTAACAGCTAAAACGAAAGGTTTTATTGTTACTTCACAGGATCAGTGGTTGAAATTCTCAAGCACACATACTAAAATATTATGTTAGCCCAAAATGCAGGTTCTGTGAAAATTAACCAGAAACAATTGAGCATCTTGTATCAGGTTGCACGATATTGGCACCCACTGAATATAAAACCCAGCAGGACAGAGTTGGCCAATATCTGCACTGGAAAATCTGTAACTTATACGGCAAGGGAACTGAAGGAAATTGGTATGATCACCACCCAGATCCGGTTACGGATATAATGTCAGAAATGGCATCATGACATTTTTTTTTTACATTGACCAATTAAAAAACAAAACAAACATAGTTTACATAGATAAAGCCCTTCTTTATTATTATTATTAAACAGTGTATTGGGTAGAATTTGGCGTGTTGGAGAAATGTCTTAAATTTACTTTCGTTTAGTGATAAAGAGATATTTCAAAAGATAATCAAAGTGATGAGAAAAGGAAAAATTCCTCAGAAACAAAGAAAAAAGATCTTCATTTACGTACATAGATCAGGAAAAAAAAAACTGGAGGCAACAGAATAGTGGTTCTACAGAAGGATACGGTACATGAACTGAGAGAATAAACAATGAGGAAGCCTTAAGGAAAATGGTAACAGAAAGAATACATATACGCAGAATCAGAAAAATAAAAGATAGCTAAAACTGCTTGCGTACAAAACGAGGAAAGAAGGTGTGGAAAACTTAAACCTGAGGGGCAAATTGAGCGACATAGAGATAAAGGAAGGCAGCGAGTCACTTACCTGAGGAGTTAACGTGAATGTATGGCAGAATGCGGGATGTGATGCGTTTCGTGTATCGTTACCCTATACATATAGAGAGAGACCAAAACCCGAACGATTTGGCATTAGTCGGAAATTCTATCCCATAGGCTATCGGCGCCCGACAGAGAGCGAGAGAGAAGCGATTTTTTGCGTATTTATTTGTTCATAATTAATCCACAATATATATATATATATATATATATATGAAGAAATAGTTTTAAGGTGTGGTATATTTACGGGATAATGTGCTCAATATCAGGTATATACCGTATGTAAATATAAATATAAAAGTGAACATTGAAGTCAACAGTCAGAGGCGACAGGCGGTTTCATGCTAGACTCAATCTTCAGGCACCACTGACCCATATATTATATATATATATATATATATATATATATATATATATATATATATATTCGAAGAAAATCCAACACTCGCGGCCTGACGATTGAGTCTAGCATGAAACAGTCTGTCGCTTCTGAGTGTTGACTTCAATGTTCCTTTATTTATATATATATATATATATATATATATATATATATATATATATCAAATGAAAAACAAATGGGTATTTCATTCTATCTATCTATCTATCTATCTATCTATCTATCTATCTATCTATTATATATATATATATATATATATATATAGATATATATATATATATAAGAACAGAGAAACTGCAAACCTTTTTCGTTGTAATGTGTTTTTTTTTTTTTAATGATATTATGCTTAATTATCCATAATATTATTTTGTAAAATCCACATTGCAAACAAAAACTTTTGCCGTTTCTCTCTTCTTTTTAATATACACACTTTTCTCTCGTTGGAACTATTATAACCTCTTCTTTATATATATATATATATATATATATATATATATATATATATATATATATATATATATGCAGATAAAAATGAAAACAAATGACCTATAATTCCACTATACGTAGCATTTTATTTTTATATATATATATATATATATATATATATATATATATATATGTTTTTGTGTGTATATGCGTGTTTTATATATGATTACAGAATGCATATTAATCTATTGATTAATATTCTAGTTTGCTTAAACTTATCATAATAGTGGAACAACACAAAAGTTGACGCCATTTTCTTGAAATGTATACATGTTAATAATTCAGAGCAACAAATTAAACGATTCTACTATTTATCCAAGAAGACTTCACTCTTCCCGTTGTTGATAAACAGAACTGACTCTTGCTAAGTGTCACAAGTGATAGGAAATTTTGGAGAGCCATGATGGCCTATATCTGCAAGATATACAACACATAGGAGAACAGTTTATTTATTTAACGGCATATCAACATACTTATGGGTCATTGAATGCCGAAATTTAATTTTCTTTGGAGCTTTCAAGTAATAAATATATGATATGTCATTGTGCTTTCACGATTGAATACATGGTAGATGACACACAGCTTTTGTCCATATACATATTTGTGTGGAGATAATTTCTAGTAGTGGTGCGGTGTTATGGTTGTTGTATATATATATATATATATATATATATATATATATATATATATAGATGAATATGCGTAGATATAAAAATTTATAAAAATTGATTGATTCATTCTTTTTTTGGTCAAAGGCATATCAACATCCTTATGGGTGATTCAATGCCAAAATTTAATTTTGATGTGTGTTTTTAAATAATAATAATATGATAAATGTTATTCTGCCTTCACAGTTGAATACATGGTAGATGATACTCCGCTTTTCTATATATATATATATACATATTTGTGTGAATATAATTACTAGAGGCAGTGATGTACTTCTTTTATATTGAAGTCCTGTTGAAGTTATATTTTGGAATAGAGTTTGATTTCTTCAAGAAAATGTAGGATATTATATGGATTAATGTCATTAAAGAGTTCTTTCATGTGTGTTGATTTAGTTTAGTGGCATATCAAAACCTATGTGGGTTATTTAATGCCGAAATCTAAATATATTGTATGTAATTTTATGTTTTCAACTACAAATAATTTCGACATAATATTATACTTTTCAGAGAAATGATTTGTTTTTTGGCGGGCATTTTAATACAAATAAATTACTCTTGATTTTTGCCTGGGCGTTCTCTATTCATATATAAGTGTGTTGGATAAGTAATAGTGTCAATGATTCGTGTGTTTCATGTTATTTGTTCGAACAGAGTTTGATTTAAGAAATTGCAAGATAATATATATCTTAATATCATATGTATTAAAGTTCATGCTGGTTATTTGCTTTGTTAGTTGATTTTGTTTAGCGGTATATCAACCAATTGAAATAATTTGGACGCAATTGTATGGCTTCAACTAAACAAATTTTGAACGCAATTCTATGCTTTAAACGCCACATAAAATATTTTGCTTGTTATGTTTCGTCGGCCTTTTTTTTCATATAAAATTGTATTGCTGGTATTTTTACTAAATGTATTTTACACTTTCATAGCGTTTTTGTTTGGGTGCTTCGCTATTTACCCATAGCTGGGACCCAAATATTTGTTACGACTCAGAGTCAGGGTTGGAAGAACAAGAGGTGGTTCCAGGCTCCTCAAAACCTCCCGACCATAAGTCTCGCTGCCGCATGCAGTTTATCGTCATAACCAGGACTATAGAAAAAGAGATTTTTTTTTGCCAATTGATTTTACATCAAATGTTTTCCTATTGTTTAACGATTTCATTATTTGTTTTTATAACTTGATTCTTTTCTTTCACTAAACAAATTACGTCCCACGTCTCCATCGTATAGCTTTCAGTGAGAAGCAAGTTCTCTGACAAGAACTTGCCAATCTATAATTCTACATAATAGTCTTGGTAAATCCAAGCTTTTAAACGGGAGCACATGTTTCTTTATTTGTTATCCGTGAATACTGAATTTGTCGCAAAAGAAGATTTACTTTTTGAAAATAAGAGTGGCAAAATTCGCCACTGCCTCATAACTACAATCTTCAAAAATTTAAATAAAACGGTAATCGCCATCTTCTGTCTTCCTGAACATTGTTCCTTTAAGGACATTTCCTTCCTTCTTGCCATTAATGTCTTCCCATTCTGTTTTGACACCTTGTAACTAACTGCTTCCTCTTAGTATTAACACCTTGCAGGGGGTGAAATACTTTGATTTAAACAAATAAGAAAACCTATCACGAATGGAAAACATAATAATAAAATATATAAAAAAATGAAATAAATAACTAAACAAAATTAAGTCTATAATCATATTGTCTTAGAGGAAGAAAATGAGTTACTAACGACACGGAATTTCAAACGTGACACTCTGGAAATATGAATATATGTTTTACGCCAGGTGTATAAATATCAGTGTCAGGCTACTGACTGGAGTGATTATTGAGGGATTATACGACGGAACTATCCAGTCGAATTTGTGTGAATTATTTTGCAGCGATGAGTTGGGGTTTGATTTAGGATTTACTGGACGTTAAGTAGAGCCGCTCTACTAAGAAGGTATTCACAAAAATGGATAATTAACATTGGTCGATTTTTACGTCTTTCTCTTTGTTAAGTATTTATTTGTGGTTCCTAGAGACGTGGGTGCGTTGAAAAATTATTCTCGGCTTTTGGCCATAGATCAAACTGTAGAATCTGTTCTTAGTTGTAGCGAATGTGATACAAGGACTAGTATTAAAGTGGCTTTAATGCCAATAGCATGCAAAAAATTACCAGGCATCAGCGATTAACCCACTTAAGAAAGAGCCGTACTACATGGGAGGAAGAAGGGATTAGGCTTAAAATTATATGAACCTTCCGGAGCCAAAGGGCCGAGAATCGTTAGCGACTGCGATAAATGTGGCATTGTTCCTTTGAAGACATTACCTTCCTTCTCGGAATTAAAGTCTTCCCATTCTGTTTTGACACCTTGTAACTCACTGCTTCCTGGTGGTATTAACACCTTGCGGCGGGTGAAATACTTTGATTTAAACAAATAAGAAAACCTTCCAAGAATGGAAAACGTAATTGTCATATAGGAAGAAAATGAGATACTAACGACACAGAGGTTCAAGCGTGACACTCTGGGCATATGAATATATGTTTTATGCCAGGTGTATAAATAAGAGTGTCAGGCTACTGACTGGAGTGATTATTGGGGGATTATAGTGTATAAATATCCAGTCGAATTAATGTGAATTATTTTGCAGCGATGATTTGAGGTTTGATTTAGGATTTACCCGACGTAAAGTGTGAGCTGCGCTACTAACAAGGTATTCACAGAAATGGTCGACTTTTAATTCTTTGTTTTTGTCAAGTATTTATTTGCGGTTGTGATTAAATACTGTTTTATCTTAAGTCTTGATTGATAATTATTTATTAACGGCCACCGTTCACTAACAAAAATTATATATACAAAAAAATAACCTGTCCGCAAATTTTATTGCCAACGCTATATTTTTAAATTCGACTATTAATCCTGCCTCACGCAGAATGCAGCTATTATAATATTCTTTTATTTCTATTATCTAATTATAATTTTGCTCGAGCGTCACTGCGTTATTTCAACTTATATTTTATTCAATCAGACGGGACATTACAGCCCAAGAATACTATTAAAATGTGCTTGTCCACCCCTTCTTCATTTCGCAAGGCCTTTACGCTCAGCCAAATACCTCATAAATAATGGACTATTCCATTTTCATAAAAATATGCAAAAAATGTATATTTACAAGGACAGAAAACGAGTTAAAATTCAAAGAATCCAAAAAGTATCCACTTAATTTTATCCAATCAGAGAAGATATTTCTCCGCAAGGATCCTATTACAATTGCCCTTTCATCTCTCTCCGTTAGTTCGCACGACCGTTGCGCCCTGCCAATACCTTATGAATAATAGACTATTGCGATTTGATCACATGAAAATACACTATTGGCTTCAGTAATAAAATGAAAGAAAGGTGGGAATGAAGTGAGAGAATCGCATTATGCTAAGAACAGATTCTACACTTTGATCTATGGCCAAAGCCCGAGAATATTATTTTCAACGAGACCACTTCGCTAGAGAATGTGACACATGTTCTAGTTTTAAAGTGGGTTTAATGCAATTACCATGCAATAAATCACCAGTTGTCAGGCAATAACCCACCCTCCCAGACTTGGGCTTAAATTATCTGAAACTTCTCGAGCCAAAGAGCCGAGAATCGTTAGCGACCGTGATAAATGTGGTACTTTCAGACTCACAGTATCGAACGACGAAAACTGAGCAAAGCAATCGACAAAAATACAGTTACCATAAATAAAATAATATCGTTTGCTGAATTATTTTAAAGTTATTATCAAGGGAAATTTTCTCGGGGCGGGGTATGGTTTGAAAGAAGGAAAGACAAAAATAAATAAATAATAGAAGTTAATATCTCATAAATAATGGAGTCTTTCCTTTTCATTGGGTAGAAAAACAGAATACATAGGCTACTTGGTATCGTTGAGAAAAATAAATAAATAAATAAATAAATAAATAAAGAAAGAAAGAAAGAAAGAAGGGCAGTTGGAAGTGTTTAACGGCTCCTACCAATACCTCATAAATAATGAAATGTTCCATTTTGATTGCGCAGAAAGACATATCAAAGATGCGACTTGGTTTCATTAAGAAAGAAAGAAAGAAACAAAAGAAATAAAGACAAACAGACAGCCAGACAGAAAGACAAACAGACAGAAAGAAAGAAAGAAAGAAAGAAAGAAAGAACGATTCCGTTTTGATTCCGTTGAAAAAACAGAATATATAGACTACTTGGAATCGTTGAGCAAAAGAAAGAAAGAAAGAAAGAAAGACAAACAGACAGACAGACAGAAAGACAAACAGATAGAAAGAAAGAAAGAAAGAAAGAAAGAAAGAAAGAAAGAAAGAAAGAAAGAAAAAACGATTCCGTTTTGATTCCGTTGAAAAAACAGAATATATAGACTACTTGGAATCGTTGAGCAAAAGAAAGAAAGAAAGACAAACAGACAGACAGACAGAAAGACAGAAAGAAAGAAAGAAAGAAAGAAAGAAAGAAAGAAAGAAAGAAAAAAAGAAAGAAAGAAAGAACTATTCTGTTTTGATTCCGTTGAAAAAACATAATATATAGATTACTTGGAATCGTTGAGCAAAAGAAAGAAAGAAAGACAAACAGACAGAAAGAAAGAAAGAATGAAAGAAAGAAAGAAAGACAAACAGACAGAAAGAAAGAAAGAAAGAATGAAAGAAAGAAAGACAAACAGAAAGACAAACAGACAAAAAGAAAGAAAGAAAGAAAGAAAGAAAGAACGATTCAGTTTTGATTGCGTAGAAAAACAGAATACATAGACTACTTGGTATCGTTGAGCAAATGAAAAAAAGAAGAAAGGAAGAAAGAAAGACAGAAAGAAAGATAGACAGAAAGACAGAAACAAAGAAGAGTTTAACATCTCCTGCCAATACCTCATGAACAATGGAATGTTCCATTTTGAGTGTGTGGAAAAACATCAAATGTAAGAAAGAAAGAAAGAAAGAAAGAAAGAAAGAAAGAAAGAAAGAAAGAAAGTTAGAAAGTAAGTTAGAATGTAAGTTAGAACTAATGGACTATTCCGTTTTGATTACGTAGAAAAAAAGGACGACAGAAGGAAGAAGACAGGAAGAATGAAAGATAAAACTTGCTTAACGTCTCTTGTTAATGCCTCATAAATAATTAACTATTCCGTTATGTTTGTTTGGAAAAGGTAGAGGACATAGACTCCTTGTTATCACTGAGCAAAGGAAAGAAAGAAAAAATAAGAAAGAAAAAAGAAAGGAAGGAAGAGAGAAAGAAAGAAAGAAAGAAAGAAAGAAAGAAAGAAAGAAAGAAAGAAAGAAAGAAGGGAAGATAACGGTTATTTCAGTGAAATGAAAAAGTTATCGATTTTATATATATCCATTTGTATCCATTTCCTAAATTAACGACCGGAATTCATATTTATGATTGTGATTGTAATATTTTGCTAGAGTTGTTAAGCTCTAATATTTAACAATATCATAAGGGAATTTCTTCGGATATTTTATTGTCATAGAAATCGCTATGAGCTTATTCAATCAATAACTGGAAAATTAAGATTCATCAGAAAATTAAAATAAAGAAATTTTCACAGCTCTTTCTAGATTGTCCCTTTGGTGTTTACTATGCGTCAGAGGCCTTGACAATACCTCATAAATAATGGACATTTTACTTTTGATCGCAAAGGCGGTAAAGACATGTCACTGACACTGTTTGGTTTCAGTGAGAAAAATGAACAACGAAAGTCACGCTTTGCCAATAACTCATAAATAATAGCAACGATTTGTTATTTGTACAATAGATTAATAGATTTACGTCACTGGATCTTATATAGTCTTTTTCGTCATTGAAAAGGTTTAACACAGCGTAGTACTTCTTATATGTGCCGTGTACCTACAGGACATTACCGATCATGGCTCTCCACTTCACCCTATCCATTTCACTTATCAATACATTCTGTCCTTTTGCTACTTATACCACATTCTGTTCTGTAATCCACTTGCTTAAAACCGCTATGTCACACGTTGCTTTCCATTGTCCTTCTTTTCTACTGTCCGCCCTGGATGTATCAGATTCTCCAAGCCTTCCTTTCTCATTACTTGCCCCAGAAATTTCATTTGCCTCTTCCTGATATTGAGTATAAGCTTCCTCCTTTACATCCTCTCCAAAACATCATCGTTGCTCACATTTTCCGCCCATTGTGTCCTTAACATTCTTTTGTAGAACCAGATTAGTAATATAAAAGAAGCCTAAAAGTATATGTCACTTACCAGTGGTTTGAAAATTGCAATTATGTATAGAATTGTCATTATACTGTGTTGTTAGTTATATCCACACTGCTATATCAAAAACTGCTCTATCTGGAAAATTCAAAACATATTTTAAGAATATATATATATATATATATATATATATATATATATATATATATATATATATATATATGAACCAATTTCTGGAGTTATATATATATATATGAACCAATTTCTGGAGTTATTACTAACCTTTCAACATATGAGCTTTTTGAGCTAGAATCTGGTATACTTTCGAACGGCTTAGACCATTGCATACCATTTAAGATTCCTGATAAAGAAAAAATTTATTCCGAATTTGAAGTGTTATTTGCGCAGCTGTGTAGACTGGTTCCTCAATCTACTGACCTGCTTTTCTAATTTAAAGGCTACCCTTAACAGTTCTGCGCATACTTATGCGTTAACCCGGTAGCCTCTCTGAGTCCAAGTGGAGTCAGCAGCACCGTTCTGTAGTCAGGAATTTACTGGCAAATAATAACTTGGTAATTACTCGTCCAGATAAGGGGTTGGTGTCGTTCTACTGATCATTCTGAGTATGTCTCAAAAATGCAAAACATTATTAGTGACACTACTAAATTTCTTCCTCTTGGTCCAGTAGAGACACATGATCGTACTGTTCCTTTAGAAATTAAGTTTCAGAAGAAACTTTTATCTTGGGCAAACGTGGGTTAATACCTCTCGTGAAATCATGGATGATATTAGACCTGTTGGGTCTATTCGTCCCCGCCTATATGGCCTTCCCAAAATTCATAAGGAAAATGTACCCCTCAGACCTATTTTGTCCATGACTGGATCATCTCAACATAAGGTTGCAAGTTTTCTATCAAACCTTCTCCAACCGGTTGTTGATTATTTTAGTACGTATATCATTAAAGATTCTTTTTCTTTTGCTCAGATTATTCGTGAAACCCCATCTAAAAATAAATTTATGTGCTCGTTTGATGTATGCTCACTGTTTACTTGCGTTCCCGTGTTGGAAACGATTGATATTTGCTGCAACATGCTATATCGAAGTATTTTGTCACCTCCGGATATCCCTGAAATGGTTTTTATTGAGCTGATGAAATTTGCTACCATGTCTGTAGAGTTTAGTTTCAACAATATCATGTACAGACAGATAGACGGGGTAGCTATGGGCTCTCCTTTGGGTCCTGCTTTGGCTAACATTTTGTCGGCTTTTTTGAGTCGTCCTCCTCTCTAAAGATAATGCACCGTCTATGTATCAACGATATGTGGATGATACATTTTGTCTTTTTTTAACAGTGAAATGGAAGCCGATTCTTTCCTTACAATTATGAATCAACTTCATCCGTCCCTAAAATTCACTATTGAAAAGGAGTCCAACTCGTGTCTTCTTTCCTTGATGTACTTGTACATCGGACCCCTTCTCAATTTGTGACATCAGTGTTTGGAAACCGACGTTTTCAGGACTCTATACGCGGTGGGACTCATTTTGTCCTAAGAAACGCAAAATAAATCTGATCAAGACCCTGACCCATAGGGCCTTGATGATTTGCAGTGATGAGTTTTTGGATGAAGAATTTAATTTTATCCGCCATATTCTTTCACGTAATGGATATCCTAATGATATTCTTGATATGGTTATGCGGGATAAAATCAATAATTTCCGTAAGGAAAAACAATACAGTGTACAGAAGTGCCCTGTTTATCTACGGCTACCATTTATTGGGTCTCAAGGTGAGCTGTTGGCTAAGCGTATCTCGTCAGCCGTCCATGACTGTTTTTTCTCAGCTCAATTAATTGTTCATTTTGCGACTCGGTCTGCCTTTCCCTCTATGCGCAAGGATACTCTTCCCCCCCATCATGTTTCTTCTGTGATTTATTTTTTTAAATGTGGTTGCGGTAGCAATTACATAGGAAGGACTTCCCAGCGTCTAGATTGTAGGATCAGGCAGCATGTCCCATTACGGGTTCTTAATCCGGAAGCTAATAGAAGTCAGTTGGTTAACACTTCCGGTTCAGCGATTACGGAGCACCTAATAAATAGCAGGAATTGTGCGAAGAACTTTAGTCCGAATTGGTTCACTGTTCTGTCCAGTTCGCACTCTCTATTCCATTTGAAGGCACTTGAGTCTCTATATATTCGGTCTAGGGAACCATCTTTGTGTAAGCAAAAAGACTGTCTCCTTGGACTTCATATCATTATCCTCTAGTGTGCTTCAAATTTTCCCCTCACACTCTGTTATATATACATATATAATTATTTTATTAAATTTTTTTTTTTTTTTTTTTTTTTTATTCTTCCTTCTCTTGTTTATTGTGTATTTTTGCACAGCTTAAAAAACATAAAGAAGGAAAAAAAGAAAAAAGAAGGAAAATATATATGTGTATAAGTTAAAAAAAAAGGGGAAAAATTATTTGTTCTTTTATTCCTTGTCCCCCCTCCATACCATTAATCTTTCATTTTAGTTTTAATTGTATGTAGGTTGTATGTGTGACTTATTTATTCTGTAAGATTGAGAAATAGTTCCCAGTTGACCCTGATGAGCTTGGGAACGAAACCGGTTGGTCTGTTTGTTTGTGAGAGTTATCATCTGTTATTTCTTATATTATTTTCATAATGCCGTTAAGAAACAACCCATATTACTTTTTCCTTGCGATATTACGATTTTGCACCTCAAATAATTTATTTAAATATTTCAAACGGAGGTATCATAGAGACATTATCAAAAAACTTGATAAAATTCTTCTTATCAAGGCAAGACTGAGAATTTTGATAAGTAATTATAAATTTCTTCAGACCTGTATTGAAAATCATGTTTGTCCCTCCTCTTTTTTATTTAGAATTAGGAGTGCGAAACTGAATCCAGGCTTAAAAATTGAGGAGATTTTTATGAGGGACTCTATTCAACTCTATACAAATAGAATCCATCAACTTACGCGTGATCTCACTGTCCTTTATAGAGAAAGTGTAACCAACCTTTCATTTTTCGATAGGATTAGGTTCTATCGTTTTGTGGGATATATATATATATATATATATATATATATATATATATATAAACAAATGAAAACTACAGACAAAAGTTCATTTTCTCCAACAAAAGACATTCATTTCTGTACTTCACTGCTAACAGCAAGCAGAAATATTTTCCTCCCGATGATGGCCATTTCGGTCGAAACTAGTCGAGGAATCTAAATGGAATAATAATAAAAAACGAAAGAACATTAATCTACAAACCCAGTGTGTCTAATGATTTTAATTTTTTAATTTTTTTATTTTCTTATTGTTCAATATATATATATATATATATATATATATATATATATATATATATATATATATAATGAGGATGAAAGCGGAGGCTTTAGAAATCCATGGTAATAGTTTATTTCGCGACATCAAGTAATCGATCACGCCTCATCAGATGAAACAATTTTACAGCAATTTTCATCTGTTCTTAAACTGAGACCTCTATGGATTTATCCTCTTTGGAATTACCTATATTACTTATCAAATAATATTATATATATATATATATGTGTGTGTGTGTGTGTGTGTGTGTGTGTGTGTATTTAAAACCACCTACTGTAAACATTCTTTAAACTTAATAGCTCAAATGTTTATATGAAATTGTTTTTTTGTGGTAAACAAGCCTGAAAGTTTTTATTGCTTGTTAGCTCAAAAACTTCTGCAATTTTCATTATAGGTAAATATAGAAACCGGGTTCTTTGCAATCTTATAAGATTCTGAAAAATGTTAACTCGATTCCTTATTTGTCTGCGATTTATTGAGGCCCCCACTCCCGCCACTATATATATATATATATATATATATATATATATATATATATATATATGTACACATACGCACACACACACAAAGACACACACACACACAGATCTATATATATATATATATATATATATATATATATGAAAAACACTGAACCAATGAATAATTTATAAAGAGAAATAATTTCAATAACAATTGCGGTCTCTAAAAGCCTCTTTATAGAAAGGTTATTAAATATACTTACAGATGAAAGCCCAGACAGGCACATAAATAATTGCGTAATATATATATATATATATATATATATATATATATATATATATATATATATCATTTCGAATATCTCCTTCCTAAAATATGTGCTACTTTCTCCAGATCATAAAATTTTAAAGGAAGGTTTTAAGGTTGCGCTTTTAAAACAAATAATAATAATAATAATAATAATAATAATAATAATAATAATAATGATGATAATCGATGTTATATCTGGATTAAAGTTGAAAGAAAAGCAAGACCAGAAGAGGAATTTTCAGGCAAATATCATACATAATAATGTGGAAGAAGAATGACCAAGAAACAATAGAATAATCAGGATGTTCTATACTTGCCCCAAAAATGAATATAAAAATCGTCACGATAGAGTGGGGCAACCTTACATGGACAAAAAACACTTTGGAAAATGTTTGGTATGAACATCGGCCAGCGCCGGTTACAGAAATAGAAGATGTCACCATTCTATGGGATTATACCATCCACACAGACAGAAAAATTGAAGCAAATAGGCCGGACATTATTGTCAAAACCAGAAAGAAAAAACTTGCCTACTAATTGATATGGTTTGTCCAGCGGATTGTAACATAGCAAACCAAGGAATTTGAAAAAACTATCAAAAATACAAAGACCTGAAATTGAAATAGAAAAAATGTGGAAATTGAAAACAAGATTTAGGGCACTTGGAATTATAAAATGGAACAAAACAACACATTGAAAGAATCCCTGAAACCCCAGCTTAAGAGACATACAGAAAAACACACACACTAAGGAGAACTTTGTCTATGTAACGCTAGCAAATCGGAAAAAAAAAAAAAAAAAAAAAAATTAACATGAAATGTGGCCATAAATGTGTGTCCATAGCAGAAATCGAATGATGATGATGATGATAATAATATTAAGAAAAGAAGAAGAAGAAGAAGAAGAAGAATGATAATAATAATAATGTAATTTCTATAAAACCACATAAAAAACATTTTGCGTTATTCGGGACTTTCTAGACCTGCAACAACTACAATGGATAGAACGTATAAATCGACAGGAAAATGCTGACTTAATACAGATTTTGGCCTTCCTTACCAGTTCGAACCAACTCGGTTGCTGTAGAAGTGATAATGGCGATACTACGAAGTACTAAATGATGATTATGTACTATTTTTGTATTGTACGAATACTTTTTCACACTTTAAAATGGATAAAGGAAATTTATTTCTAATAAATCATTTTCTTCTGTTTTCTATGCACATTTTGTTATTATGCATCTGTGTAGAGCTAATTATATGAAAAGTATTTTTATTCATTAATTGGAAACACAATGAATTAAAAATTTGTATTTGTACGAATATTTGTTTACTCCACTGTATATGAAATCTTATAGATAGATAGATAGATAGATAGATAATGAAACCAGTTCAAGATATATATGAAGAAACCTAGATAGATAGCTAGATAGAGAGAGAGAGAGAGAGAAAGAAAGTGAGATGAAGAGACTGTGATAGATAGATAGATAGATAGATAGATAGACATATATGAAACCAGTTAAGTTATATATGAGGAAAAATATATATACATGCACACACACACACAGAGATAGATAGATAGATAGATAGATATGAAACAAGTTTAAGATATATATGAAGAATCGTAGATAGATTGATAGATAGAGAGAGAAAGAAAGATGGAGGAAGAGATTAAGCTAGCTAGCTAGCTAGCAAGATAGATAGATATGAGCAGACTAAGATAGATAGATAGATAGATAGATAGATAGATAGATAGATAGATAGACATATATGAAACCAGTTAAGTTATATATGAGGAAAAATATATATACATGCACACACACACACAGAGATAGATAGATAGATAGATAGATAGATAGATATGAAACAAGTTTAAGATATATATGAAGAATCGTAGATAGATTGATAGATAGAGAGAGAAAGAAAGATGGAGGAAGAGATTAAGCTAGCTAGCAAGATAGATAGATATGAGCAGACTAAGATAGATAGATAGATAGATAGATAGATAGATAGATAGATAGATAGATAGATAGATAGACATATATGAAACCAGTTAAGTTATATATGAGGAAAAATATATATACATGCACACACACACAGAGATAGATAGATAGATAGATAGATAGATAGATAGATAGATAGATAGATAGATGAATGTATTAGTATAATTCGTTGTGATGTCGGGTCGAATGTCATCGTTCAAAGTGAGTATAAAAGACTGCTCAAAAGCCTTTCATATCGACTCGGCCACGATGCATTCCATTCCTACCTTTTTCTGTCTTGATTTCTTTGTTCTTGTCGATGACTTTGATGTTGCTTTCTGAGCTGTATTCAATAGAACCGAAGAGGTCAAAGTATTGATGTTGGACAAAAAAAAGAAAAAGAAAAAAAAAGATGCTATAAAACCTCTCCACCGTCTATTAGAGTCCGAAACGAGATTGTACCCGAGTTCTTGCGTCCATGGCAACTGACAATCTTTATTAAATTGTCATGTCACCAAAGAAAGGTATTAGAATCGAAATCAGACATATTTCAGTGAGTATATTTCTAATATTTTTCCCAAACAGCGGGAAATAATTTCTGGGAGTCTCTGTTTTTATTTAAACTTAGACTAGTTTGATACAAGGTTTCGTTAGTAAAATAAACGCATCACTCCAACAGTCATAAAAAAAAAATTCAGCCCTGTTATACGAGATATCTTTGACAGTGTTTTTATTGTAGAAGGAATTTAGTTAGATAAATTTATGCAACTGGTAACAAAGTGAAGAAACATATCTTAAATTATATTTATTAATACGGAACTTATATATTCATTATCCAATTATATCGAACAAGATTTGGAGTAGATAAATTCATGCAATTCGTATGAAAATGTACTGATATCTTAAATTATATGTATTAATACGAAACTTATAAAATCATTATCTATTGATATCGAACACGATTTAGAGAAGATAAATTTATGCAACTAGTATGAAAATAAAGAAATATATCTTAATTTATATGTATTAATACGGAGCTTATATAATCATTATCCAAATATATCGAAGAAGATTTAGAGTCGATGAATTTATTCAACTGATATCAAAATGTAGAAATATATCTTAAAAACTTCGAGTGTTGATGAACAAGATTTAATCTACAGAACAAATTTGACAACAGATTGATTAAATGAGTATAAAAAGAACTAAATTTATTTCTTTTCAAAAGTTCAAACTTTAATTGACAAGTAACGTCTCCAATCATATGTTTCCTCATTCTAATACTATTAATGACCGTTACACTGCGAGAATCAAGACTTTGGTTAGTAAATACTTACGGCCTCATTTATCCGGCAAACAATATTTGCGGAATCGATGTGAGTCCGGGTAAAATAAGTTACAATGCAAACGAATATATATATATATCTATGTATATTCTTTGCTTTGAATCTCAGAGACTTCCAGTAAGATATCTTTTATCCTTTCTTAGTTATAATGGTTCAGAGTTTAATTTACCAATTCGACGATTTTGCTGTTATACGATTTGGATAATTTGGATAACCCGGTATATATATTTACATACATACATACATACATACATACATACATATATATATATATATATATATATATATATATATATATATATATATATATATATATATATATATATATATATATATATATATATATATATATATATATATATATATATATATATATATATATATATATATATATATATATATATATATATATATATATATATATATATATATATATATATATATATATATATGTACATATATATTTATATATATATATATATATATATATATATATATATATATAACCGAATGGCTAAATATAAGTAGGTGGACGAGCGATCGTATACAAATACTTTTAATTACTCTATAATGTAACAAAGTAGTGCTCAATGTTAAAAGCCGAGCTATTTAAAATATATTAATATATAAAATAACTTACAATGTAAGGTGCTTTGTATATTCCTTAATATTAATACATACATACATATATATTAATACAAAACACACACACACACACACACAAACACACACACACATATATATATATATATATATATATATATATATATATATATATATATAATACATAAAAGGTTAATGGTCAAATATGATTGCCTAAAAGAACGCTCCCTTCAGGTGTTTTCACAAAGTCAAGTAGAATAATCCACACATATTAAACAATATTCAAACCATAGAATAACGAAATGGGTATGAAAAAAATGTAAATTCGTTTTCCTCCGGAATCATGAGATTTCCTGGATAAGTAAAGTTTCCAATTCTATTATTTAAAAGATTAGTGTCTAAACGAATTTAAAAGAAATTCCCTTCAAAACTGCAAGGAATGACTCCAATACTATCAACCAAATTTCGGGCCAAATATCGTAAGCAATCTGTTATCAAATTAACTCCCTATGTCGATGTCCAGTTTTGTTATATGTCTCATTAGTTGGATTATCCGATATAATTCACATTAGTTTGCATCTTCCTTCATAGCCAGTGCCATGAAAATGAATCTACTTAAATCTTCCGGTATATCACCAGTGTTGTATAATCCATTTATTATATCTGTAATCTTGTCAATGTCAAAGTCATCTAAGGCTACGAGAATCGTTATTACGATTTCAATTGGTCTGCAGCTTTCTGTTCTTTTTGACAATTTTATTTATTTATTTTCTTTTTGGGGGATTTCTATTGCTCTTTCTGATATCAATCTGAGTACAAATATCAAATTCATTGTCTGTAATGAACTCCCAATGCCCTTGTCATGTTTCGCTATATGACTCATTCGACTGATTGTCCAATAAAATTCACATTCATTTGCATTTGGTTTCATAGTCAGTGCTATGAAAATGAATCTACTTAGGTTTTGCGGTATATCACCATTTATTTTATCTGTAATCTACGATTTCATTTGGTCTGCTGCTTTCTGTTCTTTTTGACAATTTTATTTATTTATTTTTATTTTTATTTTTTTTTGGTTGTGGGGAGTAAAATAATGTTTTTACTGATACAAGCCTTAGTAATTTTTTAATTTAAACGCTGGGCTGTTACTTTTGCTGACACCCATCCATTTTGTTTTATTGCAATTGATGTTTAGTCCTTTCTTCTAGCTTTCCTTCACGACCAGGAGGAAATCTGGTCGTTTCCTATTGATATCTGCTATCATCAATGTGTCACCAACATATCTTCTGACTACAGATAATGAATTCTGGTAGGACTTCTATTTCTCTTAAAATCACCTCATTATATACGTCCGGCGAGAAGGCACATCTTTGTCTTATATAATTTTTTTCTTTCTATATATTTACTGAATAAATGTTGTATCCGTATACAGGAGGTTTGCTCCGAGTATAGTTCTTGGATTATAACAACATATGTTAAGGATAAGTAGCAGTTCCACCAGATTTTTGTGAGGTATCCTTTCAAACCTTTTTATATAATCTATAAAACTGATATGCGTTATTTTTTGCATTTCTATTGATCTTTCTGATATCATTCTGAGCACAAATATCGCTTCTATTTTGTTGCTGTTGTCTCCCTTGTGCGGATCATCTTCTCCCTCGTTTTTTTTTCTTCTGTTGCTGCTGCCTATTAAATTTTAATATTATTTTAGATTTTGTTGTTAATCAGCTTATTCTTTTTCTACTTCTGTCACTGCTATCTCCTCCATATTAATTTTCTATTTTTCTCCTTCATCATAATCTTTGTATTCCTATTCCTCCGCGCTCTCTATATTACTATTTTACTATCTTTTATTTTCCTTCCAGAGGAATTTTCTTCATATTCAACCTTTCAACTCTTGTTTTTCCCTTTTCCGAGTCGAGTAAAATATATTTTTCGTCTTTACTGCGGATGCTGCGGATGCCACTTTTGCTGCTACTGTCTCCTTTGTGCGGATCATCTTCTCCTTCATTTTCTCTTCTGTTGATGCTGCCTATTAAATTTCAATATTATTTTTGCTGTTGTTGTTAATCAGCTTCTTCCTTTTCTACTTCTGTCACTGCTATCTGCTCCATATTAATTTTCTATTTTTCTCTCTCATCATCCGCTCTCTCTTCATTATTATTCTTTTACTTATTTTCCTCCCAGAGGAATTTAACCTTTCAACTCGCTTTTGTTTTTCCCTTTTCCGAGTCGAGTAAAATATATTTTACGTCTCTATCTCTAACAATTTCTTGTCCGCTTTCTTCGTTTTTCCTCTTGTCTCTCTTTTTTTATAAAACCTTTGCTCCTTCCCTTTCTAGTAATTTTAATAGCTCTTCCCCTATAATATATTTGTCTCTTTCTGTCTCTTCATCCGTTTTTTTTTCTTTTCCCCCCCAGATCCATTATGGTATTTGGATCTCAGCCTGCCAATTTCTGACCTGCCTCTCTGACCCCGCAAGACAAATGCAACACTCAGCAAAATTTTCCAATTTCGGAGTATGTAATCTGACTATGACCTTTTACCTAACATAATCTTCCAGTCCGAGAACATAAAAGCTTTTTAGCATGTATTTACGTCTTTGCTATAAATTGGCTGCGTGAATGTGATGATACATTTACAGAATGCATCCAAGTGATAAACATCTATATGCCAGAATTATTGAAACACGCCGATGTCACCGAAATTTTTCTGAGGAAAGAAAAATCGAAAAAATAAAAATTACCGGCATTCGTAAATTACGTCTACAAATAAACAGTTTCATCATGATTGATATATATATATATATATATATATATATATATATATATATATATATATATATATATATATATGAATAGCTTTATGTAAAAAGATTTAAAAGTACTGAGCAGCCCAGTACTTATAAAAGTCTGCTTTTTCCTGCATGAGGAAATTAATGATGCGAGATGTCTTCTTCTCTGTAGGCGTCCTTTCACGATATAAGCGATCATTATTCATATTATTCAGACTATTGTTCTCGTCTTTGTCGCCAAATGTATTACAACGTTTCGGCCTTTGTACGCTCCGGCCTTCATCGGTAGTTGGAATGTCGAATTGAAACCTTTATGTCGCTAAATGGGGTAGACTACTGTACTACTGTACTGATGCGGCATTCACCCTGGGCGGATTGAGCCGGCTTCTTCCTGTTATGATAAGAAGATTCTTGGGATAAGTTACAGAAGTAGGGTACCCAGGCCTACTCGGATAACGTTCTTGCTTGCCGCGGGGTTCCCACAGACGCAGAGACAGGAACGACCAGAAGCCGCCGGTTACCGATGCAGACGCTCCTTGGATTTTCACCTTGTTAGCCGGCGTGTGTGTCAGACCTGTCCGCCTTGGGTGGCCCTACCAGGAACGAAGTTCCGGGCGGCATAGCTCTGACACTACCGTTTACACCCCCCCACCGACTGTGAGGTAAGGGTTGGACTTACGGTCAAATCACGCTGAAACACCTGTTCTCGTACGATCACCGAAGTTAAGCAGCGTAGAGCCAGGTCAGTACTTAGATGGGGGACCGCTTGGGAACACCTGGTACTGTAAGCCCCCAAAGTCCAACTGGGGTAGACTGTTCTAGTGCCATGTGTCATGTCTTATGGATGTCTGTTGTCAGTTATCTCCTGTTAGTTCTCTTCTCTAAGTTCTCCACCACCTTAACTAGATATTGAACTCACACCTCTGTGGGTCCTGTCACTGGACCTAGCTAACGTATTTATCCACTGGCAAAGTGAATAAAGGCGTTATATATATATATATATATATATATATATATATATATATATATATATATATATATATATATATATAATGTTTGTGTATATAAACAATAAATAAATAATGAGTAAAAACATATATATAAATGTATATAAACAATAATTAAATAATAAACAACACTATATATATATATATATATATATATATATATATATATATAGTGTTTATTATGTATAGTGTACATAGTACCTCATCTCAGAAATATAGACCTATAAGCGATCATGTTTCTTCATAACTTCCAATCTTAGCAGTTTTTCTCCCTTTACCAAGTTCCGCTGTCTTTTCAACCTTCCCCTATATATATTGTCCTTAAGGTAAATAGATATAGGGTATGTCTTTGAGGTTTAATTTGCCATAAGGGTTAATTCTTTCAAGCTCTAATTTCTCATTATGTCTAAAAAAAAAAATCAGATGATTCTTCCTGATTATTTTAAGGACAAGTTTTCTTTTCTTTGACTTTGCAAAGGCTCTTCCGTTGCTTACTGGCTCTATGCATTGCATTCTCAGCATCCTTCTGTAGAACCATATTTCTGTTGCCCTCTACCTTTCTCCTCATCCGTCTGGATTTTGTCCAACATTCACAGCGATATAAGCAGATTGATATCACATAACAGTCGAGCACTCTTTGTGTTTGACGAAATTATTCGCAACACATTGCTTTCGCTAGGCCTGTATGGGTGTGAATTTCCTTCGCATTTTCCATCCAGTTAAAACTCTCAGGATATTTAAAGATTGGTAGATATGGGCAAATAGTGAAATCCCAAATACTATAAAATTATTAAAATATATTTTATAGAAAAAATACCAGTAATAAATTTTTATATAAAATATTACCAACTATACATATTTACAATAAAACTACCTGCAACACCTTTTATAGAAACATAACAAACACTACGTTTTTTTTATAGCAAAATAACCAACAATATATTCTATTTGTAGTTGAGGACAAAAACTGCGTTCAAAATATTTAGATTTCGGCATGAAGTAACTCATAGAGTTTGATATGCCGCTAAAAACATCAACCAAGCAACAATATATTCTATTTGTAGTTGAGGACAGGAATTGCGTTCAAAATATTTAGATTTCGGCATGATGTAACATAGAGGTTGATATGCCGCCAAAAACATAGGCCAACCAACAATATATTCTATCTGTAGTTGAGGACATGAAATTGAGTTCAAAATACTTAGATTTCGGCATGAAGTAATTCATAGCGGTTGATATGCCGCTAAAAAAATCAACCAACCAACCAAATATTCAAAAATCTTGAATTCGTAATTCGTATCTTGGGCTCGTTTTCTTGGTGACGATTATACTGTCTATCTTCTTGCAGTTGGTCGTTGGTCCGTTTCTTTTGTTTTCTTTTACTGGTCTGTCTAGTAGGTCATATAGTTTTGTTTTTGGTTTTTTTCCCTGGCAACCATAAACACAATGCCATCTGCGTTTCTTATATTGTTAAGATTACACCAAGCGATAAAAAGTCTCCAGCTCTCTCATGTTGGATTCACGGTTCATTATCGGCTTGCTTGTGTGTAAACGACCTTCATATCAGTCAATGCTACTATTGCATACCATAAATGATAAACTGCTTATCTTCTTAATCTTGGATCGAAAAAAAATGATTTTAATTGATTTTAAAAGATCTTAAGATATCTACAGATATATTCAACAATATATTTGCCATTTTGATCGACTATCTCTCGTAATGTTTCATCCATCAGAAGCTTTCATCTTTCTGGGCAATGCATCGGTCTAAGTTCTTTTTCCGAAGCCCAATTTCCTATTTTTTTTATTTTTATTTATCGTGTCCTTTCAGGACGTAGGATTTTATGGCTCTCCACCTCCCTCTATATCCCTAGCAGGTCACAACAATTCCTTCCCTCTGCTATCTCTCTCAGACCAAGTTTTGTTATCTCTCCACTCAAGCCCGCCAGGAATATCACGCACTGCTTTCACTTGTCTCTCTTTCCATCTATTTGACTCGTGAGCATTAGATTCTCAAAGCCCTCCTTTTTCATTATGTGTCCCAGAAACTTCAGCTGCCTCCTCCAAGACATCATCGTTTCTCACACGCTCGGCCCACACCTCATTTTGTCTTAAAGATTCAGCTGATTCTTATTGATTTTGAGTATAAGAGTTATTTTGGTTGCCATTTTTATTGGGTCTCTCGATGCTTACTCTCTCAGTTCATGGAATCTTCAATATCCTTCTGTAGAACCACATTTCTGTTGCTCCCAGCTTTCTCTTTATCCATCTGGAGTTTGTCCACCATTCACAGGCATATAAGCAGATTATTAACTCGAATTTGTTTTTTTTTTTCTGGCTGACGACCCTATATTCTATCTTCTTGCATTTTATGATTAGTTTATTTCTCTTCCTTTTTTTTTACTTTTCTAGCAGGCCCTATATATATATATATATATATATATATATATATATATATATATATATATATATATACTATCCAGACGGTCTTAATCACAAATTTAACCATATATAGATAGTATTAATATATAACCCGACAAATCTGGACCTACCCACATTTCTCACCAAACAGGACAGACGTGCTTACGGAGGTGTTGAGGCCTCATATTTATACACACACCCACACGAATATACACACTTACACATATCATACTCACTCACTCCCAAATGAACCGAATGATAACACACACCGATAGTAATATACAGGCTTACACACATCATACTCACTCATTCCCTAAGAACCAAATAACACACACACACTTAACAGAGACACATCCACTTTACAGGAACCAATAAAACTGTCAAAAATGACCAAGGGAATTCACAGAAGAATAAATCCGTCCAGCTCTTAACTTAAAAGAGACTGTTTGACCAACACAAGGACTGACCCAAATTCATGTTAAAAAAAAAAAGAAGTGAAAACTACAGCAAAGTTCATTTACTCCATCAAGACAGTCATTTCTGTAGTTTACTGCGACCAGCAAGCAGAATTTTCTTTTCCTGTTGATCGCCATTTGGGTCGAATCTAGTCGAGGAATCTAAATGAAATACAACCCAGTCTGTCTGAAGATTTTAATTTTTTAATATTTTTTATTGTTCAATATATATATATATATATATATATATATATATATTACATTGGAATCTTTTTTAATAGGACAGATATTTATCACTTTAAACTTTATTTTTAGTGCATACTCGTCTTCAAGTAAGTGCAACGTTTATTTATTAAACATCATATTAACCTAAATTCGTCCACCGGCCTGAATGTACGTGAAATATTATTAAAGAAAATTTATTCAATAAGATTAAAGGAAAATAAATATTTTTTCTTTAATAATTTATATAATTTGAGATATAGATGAATATTTTTTTTCCTTTTTTTTTTAATAAACAGAATTAATTACGTTTACTGGCCTAAATATTCGAGAAATTTCAGAGAAAATATGTATTTCTCCGGCAGGAATCGAACCTGTAACACCAATTGAGAAGCATCATTTGATCGTATGTGCTGTTAACCATTCAACCACAAAGAACCGCTTAGTAAAGTCCGAATTACTTCTTTGACGATCTTTCCCGAACAATCATATCTGCCGACAAAACATACGCTTAAACATTGACTGCATATTATGAAATGGTTTTATGCATTTACACCCCCCTATATATATATATATATATATATATATATATATATATATATATATATATATATATATATATATATATATATATATATAAATTTCAGTTACGTGCAAATAAAAAGCATTCACTTAAACTGTAATCATTAAAAAATTCTGCACAATTGCATTGCACATAATGCAGAAGGAAGCTGTCAGTTGCAGGCTCTAATGCAATGGTGTTGACACAATTAGATCATTATCTGTATGCTGTAAATTTGTTGTCAGTTATTTCACAAAGTTGATGCATTTAAATTCAGGAAGTAGAGAAAGTAAACAGGTATTCGCGTAAGGGTTAATCGCACAATACAATCATATATATATATATATATATATATATATATATATATATATATATATATATATATATATAATGTAAGTGCGTTGATAATGATTTAATTTATAATCGTAAAATCAGAAATTTATTCACGCGATTTTGTAAGACCAGATAATTTATATGTATAATATAAAATCTTTGTTAAGGATTTTACGTTAAAGATTCTTTGAAAACTTAGCACTAAGTCTGGCAATGTTAATGACGGCATTATATATTCAATCGAATTATTATAATGATTCTCCAACTGAAATAGAGTTGATAACAAGGAAAATGATTATCCGGCAACAAATGCTAGAAATACTAACCAATAAGTTTATTATATGAATAATTTCAGGGTATATATAATTATTGTAATTGTTTCACTCTAAGTAAGGCATTAAAGTCACTAAGACGTTATCTGTTAACGAGTGTTATACATTAAAAAGAAAAAAACATTATTAAGGTGAGGGGACAATAAATGAACAAGAATTAATAAGACAGACGATAACGATTGCCAATGAATTTTAATTTTTGGAGATTAATATTGACTGAGAAGCAAGGAACCAGAAGAAATTTCGGCAAGCAAGAAATACTTTCGATGAAAATATTAACATTTGAACTTACGCTTACATCTAGCAATTTCAGCTGTAAAATAAACATCAGGAATGGAAAGACAGTATATAGCAGCAGTATCGAAGTCATGAACTCGTTTTTCGATTAATATTTACTTAAATGGATTTTTCCAGGCGGTTTCCGCTTGAGGAAACCAAACGAATCGTAAATTTAATCACTTCCTTTCTATACATTTAGGGTATAATTCCGCAGATTTAACGACTACTAACGATTATCTTTTATACGTGATGAAATTTTTCATCAACGCATTTGCGATTAGAATTGGTGCTATGAAGGCGCTTACAATGAATCCATCATAAAACTTCAGAATTGGGAATATAAATACTAAACACTTCAAATACCTCTGTGTGTGGATGCGTTATAGCAATTTTAGTATAAGAAATAGAGAAATCGAAGACAGGATAAGTCTTAACCTACAAGATATTAACCTACAAACCCGAATCATTAAATATCAAATCGAAATCCTCGCATCATGTATGCATCAGGCTTGTTATGAAATGTTTAATCTTCCAGCTATATGCAATCACTTTCTCAAATCAATGGTTAAAACTAGATTCGGCAAATGAATTCTGTAAGTCGTTGAGAGAACCATAATTTATTCAATCTTGTGGACAAACACTAAAGAATAAAAAAAGACGTTTACCAAAATAATAAAAACGGCTTTTCGACGGTAGCGGCAACTAAAAGAGATATCAAATACAACTCGAAGGGGACATGCCATAACAAATATTTTACCGTTACACACCACTTCAAAGAAAAATTAGTAAGGAAATCCCTATCCAAAATAGAAAAAGGGATAACTGTAAATTTTAGAAATCTGTTTTCATGAAAAACCCATTCTTTAGAAAAGAAAGTGTCCTCGGTGGGACGATAAACTCTATCCGATCAGGAAGTTTTGAGAAGCGTGGAATCAGCTCTTAATTGCTGTTGTTCCAAGGTTCATTCTGACACGGAGTGAGAGGACATGTTAGAGGGATTCAAGTTATGTGCAAACAGTTTACACCAAAATGGGGTCAAAACACTATGAAAGTGTAAAAATACGTTTTTATAGTAAAAATACCAGCAAAACGTTTTGGAAAGAATAATAAACAAGAAGAAATATATCCAGCAATAAATTTATGAAAAAACATATTTCCAGTAATACATTTTTGAAACAAAATGTTTCCAGCGATAGATTTTATGAAAAATAACATTACCGGCAAGACTCTGGACAAAAAAAAAAAAAAAAAAAAAAAAAATCTTTACAAAAATAAGTCAATGAAACCTGATCGATAAACAGATTTCTTACAAAGAATACATATTCTATTCATACGAACCTATCGTAGAAATCTTTTCGGCATTAAATAACCCATGGAGGTGGATATACCGTATAAGAAAATAAAGGAAACCAAAGCAAAGAAAAAATCAATTTATTTCAACCGACAATCACGATAATTTTTCGGTCATTGAGTGCAGAATGTTTGAAAGAAAAAGTTAATATGATCATTATTCTCTGTAAAGTAACCCTTCAGGAAATATGCAATTGTTGCTTTTTACATTTCCCTTTCATTGGTAGCTGTTAATATATTTTGTCTTTTTGTTTTTTTTTCTCATAAACCTTGTTCCGTCATACATTTATTCAAGCTCACTAAATAGGATAGGCGTTGTGTCTTTCTGTGCATCTTGCACTCATTATGTCCTGTGAATATCAGATTTTCCAAACCATCTTTCCTCATTCTGTGCTCTGAACATTTAAATTGCCTATTTTTGGTATAAACGTTTTTTTTTTTTATTCTATTTTCGACGTTGCTTGAAAGTTCGTTATATCGTATCCTGTTCCTTTCGTTCTTTCTTTTTTTAGGACAAATATTCTTTCTTTCTTTCTTTCTTTCTTTCTTTTCCATGATAAATATTCTTTCTTTCTTTCTTTCTTTCTTTTCCAGAGCAAATATTCTTTCTTTATTTCTTTCTTTCCTTTTTCTCTCTCAAAACATATATCTTTCTTTCTTTCTTTCTTTCTTTCTTTCTTTCTTTCTTTCTTTCTTTCTTTCTTTCTTTCGTTCTTTCTTTCTTTCTTTCTTTCTTAGATCATATATTCTTTATTCCTTTCTTTTTTTCTTTCTTTATTTATTCTTTCTTTCTTTTTTCTTTCTTTCTTTGCTTTCCTGGACACATATTTGTTTGTTTGTTTCTTTCTTTCTTTTCCAGGATAAATATTATTTCTTTCTTTCTTTCTTTCTTTCTTTTTTCTTTCTTTCTTTGCTTTCCTGGACACATATTTGTTTGTTTCTTTCTTTCTTTCTTTTCCAGGATAAATATTATTTCTTTCTTTCTTTCTTTCTTTCTTTCTTTCTTTCTTTCTTTCTTTCTTAGATTAAATATTCTTTATTCCTTTCTTTCTTTCTTTCTTTATTTTTTCTTTCTTTTTTCTTTCTTTCTTTGCTTTCCAGGACATATATTTGTTTGTTTGTTTCTTTCTTTCTTTTCCAGGATAAATATTCTTTCTTTCTTTCTTTCTTTCTTTCTTTCTTTCTTTCTTTCTTAGATCAAATATTCTTTATTCCTTTCTTTCTTTCTTTATTTTTTCTTTCTTTCTTTGCTTTCCAGAACACATATTTGTTTGTTTGTTTCTTTCTTTCTTTTCCAGGATAAATATTCTTTCTTTCTTTCTTTCTTTTCCAGAGCAAATATTCTTCCTTTATTTCTTTCTTTCCTTTTTCTCTCCCAAAACATATATCTTTCTTTCTTTCTTTTTTTCTTTCTTTCTTTCTTTCTTACCAATTCATTTTCTTTCTTTCTTTCTTTCTTTCTTTCTTTCTTTCTTTCTTTCTTTCTTTCTTTCTTTCTTTCTTTCTTTTTTTTTGTCGTCATACATCTATTCCCCTCCTCTTTTTTGTCTCGTCTGCCTTTTCCTCTCTCAAACTCCGCTACCTCCCTTTCTCTTCCTTTCTATCTTTATTCGACTTTTTCTTCTTTTATTTCGGTTCATATTTACTCTCGCACACATTTCTCGCTAATCACATATGTAACCACCAGTCATCTAGAACAAACTGCGACAGATAATGATATCATATCCCATAATCCTTTACACTGATTTCCCCCGAGTCGAGAAGAGGGATTGGAGAAAAATATTGTGGTTGTATGTCCCAGACGAAGATAAAATGGACAAAACGATTGGATAAGAGTACGGGCGAATGAAAACGCCGTAAAAAGAATGGATTTCCACTGTTGGAGGAAAGGAGGAGGATTAGAATCAAATAAAGAGGTGGTAGGAGGACAATTGGCTGTGTGAAACTAAATCAATTGAATTATGAAGAAAACGTTAAAGCAGATGAAAGAAAGAGACGGAGAAACACACAGTCATAAAGAATGAGACGATGGAAGGAGAATGAGGAAGAAGATGAAGCTACTAAGTGGAGGGAGAAAAGCTTGAATGGATGCAAAAAAAGCAAATAATGACGGCATGGAAAGAAGTATTGAAATAATATTAAAAAGAAACGAGGAAAAATAAAGTGAATGAAAAAGAAAGAGAATTATGTCTACCGTATAGAAAAAAAATGAAGTCGGAAGAAAATCAGAAATAGCTAACAGAATTAAATGAAAAATAAATATAGTTTTCAAAAGAAAAGAAAAGTAAAGAGTTAATTAATTAAAAGAGAGAAAAAAAATGAAAGAGTAACAAAAGAAACAGGTAGGTTTGCAAATAAATTCCAAGGCGAGTAAGAATGTAACAAAAGAAAGTTTAGATTGAGTTAGGGATTTCAGAACATATAAACACTTATTTACACTATTTACACATCTCTGTTCTCATATTCACGGCGCTTCGGCCGTTGTACAATCTGGCCTTCTTCAGAATATACCTATATTTCTGAGATGCAGTATTGTAACTATGTACACTATTTAAAAAGCATGGACTGTATCCCTCATCTTTATTGTCATATTCACGAAGTTTCGGCCGTTGTACAATCAGGCCTTCTTCAGAATATACCTATATTTCTGAGATGCGGTATTGTAACTATGTACACTATTTAAAAAGCATGGACTGTATCCTCATCTTTATTGTCATATTCACGAAGTTTCGGCCGTTGTACAATCAGGCCTTCTTCAGAATATACCTATATTTCTGAGATGCGGTATTGTAACTATGTACACTATTTAAAAAGCATGGACTGTATCCCTCATCTTTATTGTCATATTCACGAAGTTTCGGCCGTTGTACAATCAGGCCTTCTTCAGAATATACCTATATTTCTGAGATGCGGTATTGTAACTATGTACACTATTTAAAAAGCATGGACTGTATGCCTCATCTTTATTGTCATATTCACGAAATTTCGGCCGTTGTACGATCCAGACTTCTACATGATCAACTTTCAAACTTTTTGTTCACCTCCGGTGTGGCCAGATATTGAATTCACAACTCTATTAGATCAACTTACTGGATTAATTCAAATATCGCTTTTATCCAATGGATAAATTAATGTAACTGGCTTATATTTCATTAATAATATAGATAGATATATGAATAGCTCATACAGTTCAATATATATATATATATATATATATATATATATATATATATATATATATATATATATAAAAGAGCCAGGCAAACCTACCTAAGTTTCACCTACGTGGATCATCAGCTTATTTGGCACTTTTGGACTCTGAGCTTGCATTCTGATGAATTATTTTTTGAAAATTACATGTTCTTAGTTCTTTCCTTTTTATTCTATTTTTTCCTTGTGTATAGTTTTGTTCATTTACAAGCAAATACACCTAAGTTTTTTTACTTAATCATATATATATATATAGATAGATAGATAGATATATGTGTGTGAGTGTGGTATTAGATGATCAGCCAGGAATGCTGAAATGTTGTAAGTGAAAGAGCGCAAATTTACTACTGATGACCTTGCGATGGAGGCACTCTCTAGACATTTAATTAGTAGTGAACTATTTTTCTCCTTTCATGAGAGTAGCATTTTTTTATGTTAAAATTGTGGTTAGACTCGTTACAGTGGCCAACGAAATCATTTGATGTATTATTTTGTAAAATATCCCTTTTATGTTCATGTAATCTTTGATTTAGGTTCTTTGACGGTTTTCTTATGAATTTTGCGACAATTATTACAAACAACAGAGTGAAGTCCTCCTTCAGGTTTTACTTTATTGTTTTGTTAAGTACAAAGTTTTTTTTTATTGGTTCGTATCTAGTAGTAACTCATTTTACATTGAGTTTAGATGTGATAGACTAAATAGGCAAGATAATTTATTTTTTATTCATTTGGTTTCTCAGGAGGGACCAATCTTATGCTTTGTAACATTTTATAAGACTTTTGTTTTGCAATGAATATAAAAATAGGGTAATGGAAAAGCTTGAAATTAAGAATCTAGTGTATCTCTCTTCTTACTGTAAATAACCTGGGCTGCATATTCTTAACGCTCTTAGGCAGAATCCGAATGGTTATGCCTGATTATTTTTTTTGCAGTACCATATATATCACAAATTTAACCATATAGATGTTATTAATATATAACTCCACGAATCAAGACCCACCCACATTTCTCACCCACACAAGACAGACATGTTTACGGAGGTGTTGAGGCCTCACACTTATACACATACCGACACGAATATACACACGTAGACGCATTATAATCACTCCCTAATAAGCCAAATGATAACACACATCCACAGTAATATACATGCTTACATATATCACACTCACTCACTCCCTAAGAACCAAATAACACACTCTTAACAGAGACACATCCCCTTTCCAGTAACCAATAAAACTATGACCAAGGGAATTCAGAGCAGCATGAACCGTCATATAGCCTGACGTGCATTACAGCTCGGCCACAAAGCAGCAAATTCGAACGATCCTTTGTGGCCGAGTGGTAAGGCACGTCAGGCTATATGACGGTTCCGTATAGGATACAGGTTCGAATCCTGTCGAAGGACGAATATTTTCTATGACAATTTCTCGGACATTCAGACAGGTAAAAGTTATTTAATACTGTTTATTATAAACAGAGCATTTACGTAAATATTTGTATCTATAAAAAGAATGTTAAACATATAAATGTCTTTAAATATATATTTGTGTGTGTGAAATTTGTTTCATCAAACATGCGAATGCCGAAATTAAAAAAAACATTTGCGTAACTGAAAGATTTAATAGATTATACACATAATTTTTGATTATGAAAACTAAAACATGTCAAAAAATGCTACACAATTGCATTTGTGT